GTTCACGTGTGCTATCTATACATATACAAGAAAACTTGTTTTTATCATATTTTTAATGTTTTAGATAAAAAATACGATTTGCAGTGATTTTGTCGTTGGTAGATAGAATCGTTAAACTTGGAAAACGATTTATAAATGGGTAAGAACTTATAAAGAAATATTCAAGTTTCATTATAATACATCAATATTTGTTTGAAATCCACATGAGTGAACATCTATTAATAGGTAAATGAATGATAATAATCATTCGTTTAATTTCTAATGTTATTATAAGTCATATCTAAAGTTAGGGGTCAAAGACACTAGCCGAATTAAAACTGAATTAAGCAATCAGATTCGCGTTGTTACGTGGAAACAGCAATCACATTAGTTAATTCAGTCTTAATTATTCTAGTGTGTTTGACCCCTTAAACATATTTTAAATCAACAAATTACATTTGACAGTGAAAATATCTTCAACATAGTTTCATTTGATTGATTCACCTACATATTTCTTTTTTATTAAAGTATCCCTTGTTAAAATAATTGATCATCAATGATTGCTTCTCATTTAGACAATGTCTGTTAACCATAACTCTTCACATATATATATATATACGTCTATTCTAATCTCAGTCGGACACGTATTAAGAATGAACTGTTTATCAAGTATGAGTATGTAATTATTTGAGAATATGATTTATTTATTTTTATTGTTTTGTACAGAAGAGAATGTCGAACTGGTCGATTTACCTGATGAGTTAATTTTAACTATTATGAATAAAATCAAACCTCAAGTATTATTGGTTTGTTCTACAATTACTGTTGGTAATAATCGTTTGGAACAAGTTGCACTTGATAAATGTCATTCAATTGATTTAACTTTTGATTATTTTCAATCACCACATCAATCAGTTATTCAACGGTTTTATTCGCATGTCATGTCTCGAATTAGCAATAATATTCAATCATTGATACTCAACATTCAACATATTCCGAAAATGATTACTTTTGCTGAAAAAGACTAATGGAATTCTCCCAAACTTGACACATTTGAAAATAATGCTTGATAGAGAAAGTCGCAATACAGGCACATCTCATGCATTAGGTAAATTTTTATTAAGTGAAGTTTATTAAGTTATATTTAAATATCACTTTAGTTCATTTTCTGCTTTGAAAAAGAAACTTTTTTTATTTGAGAATCATTTTCGGTATTTTATGCAAAAGAAATCCATAGGCTACTTCTGTATGGAGAATTATTAGACAATTCAAAGAAATTGTTGAAAAAACTTATCAAATTCTGTTAGTTCTATATTAGCATGCCAAAGTTTGTCTGAGAAAAATAATAGTTAAGAAAAATATGAAAAAGTCTTTAAGTGAAGTTAATATTATCAGAAATGAAAAGATTAGGTTGAAAAGAATTTTATATTGTAAGACATAGATATTTTTGTTATTAGGGATCAATGTTTAGAATATTTTAGAAGCTAATCC